CGCTCCCTATTCGCCCGACTCTGTCTCTCCTCAGCCGCCGTAACCGGGGCCTTCCACCACCCGGCCCTCACCCCTTTAATACCCACTGCGCAGGCGCGGCGCGCTCGCCCCAACCCGGGCACTCTGCCGCGGTGCCTGACTGAAAAGCCCCGTGTCCGCTTCTCAGCGGGTCCCGAAGATGAGTGGCCGCCCAGCCTCTATTGTCCACAAACTTATGGATAGATGAGGGCGGAGGGAGGACTAGTGAGGACCCTTCAGGCACTCGTGTGAGGCAGCCCCGCGAAACGTGACGTCAGGACCACGTGCGTTGGCCGTGGTCGAGCTCTGTGCAGGGGGCTAGAAGTGGGGCGCAGGCCACGTGCACGGTGCTCCCTTATGAGGGGCGCGCGAAGCGGGGGCTGAGCCTCACTGTGCAGGTGCGAGGGTCACACAAGACCCCACAGAGCTCCTTCTGGCTGTTGGTCTGCCCGCGGGGGAAGGTGTTAGAGGAGTGCTGCGGTTTTCGGCTTAGTGCTTTTACGATTTAAGTCTAAGGCCCCTGGTCTATGTAACGTGTTATGCCATTAGCTGGTTAATCACACAATTAGTGTAGGCTATGTAAAGTAATTATCGCAGGATAAAAATGGCTGTCCAGCTATCAATATAGCCAATCAGCTACAAAGTTAGTGCTTGGGAATGTGTAACAACTCTATAGCTGGTTTTCATCCAGTTTTAATCTGAATATGCTGCAGGGACATAAGACTTTAAACAATCTTCAATGAAAAAGCAATCGTGCTGTCTTAGTTTCATTGCGTTCAGTTTCTGCCCTTGACATCACTGGTTGTAGGAAGTTTTGCTTAATTGCTTTGCATACTCATGAAAGCACTGAGGTGGTGCATTATGCACAGGGATTTGGGATTTGTGTGTAGACTCCGAGATCTGCCAGACACAGTCCGTAGTCAGTTTCTGCTGGTGTCTGTGTGGTTGTTTCAATATGACTGCATTAGAGGAATAAAACATTTCCTGTTTTCCTCAACAGAAATGTTTGTCTAAGCAAATGAAAAGGTGTCAGAGGCACATATCTGATTCTGTTGTTAAATCAGTTGGTGTAGGTCTTTAATCCACAGCTTAATTTTGAAACCAAGGGTTTGTTTAAATGCTTTATTAGAAAATTATTGGAATTTTGTTTTACTAATGCAAAATTTTAAAATATGTCTCCTTAAAATCAGTCCAAAATGAGGTGCTTCCCTTCTCAGCTAAGTGAGAGCTGGCATATCTGTATAACATCATTAGGAAAAGATAGATACAAGGAATTGTATTGCTTCATATTCTTTACCCTCAGACTCCTTGTGCATCTTATTTACTATTAAAAAGAAACAGAGACAGTTTCCAATGAAACTCCAGAATAAATTTAATGGACCCTACGAGAGGCCTTGATTCTGCAGTGAATTCCAGGCAGGTGGAAGCCTGTACCATGTAAGGCCCATGTAATCTTGCCCTTCCTTCAGAGCAGGAAGTTTATTATAGAAAGTAATTAGTAACAAGTATAGGGAAGGAATTTGCAGGATGGGCCCAGAATCAATACTTTTACCTTGTTCCGTTAGAGACTGACAAACAAATTACCCATGTTAAATAATGCACTAGACACAGGCACTTTGAGTGAACTCTGACACAATATTCTTTAAAAAGAGCAGTTCAACTTGAATTGCCTGTAACTAATGACTCAACACATGCCCATGGATTTTTTTTATTTTTTATTTTTTTGCCCATAGATTTTACTTTTGGTTTTAAAGGAGATGAACGTGTCAAGAATTCATGCACTGGAGCCCTACCGTGTTCCTAAAGGAGCTCAAGAGCTCATTTCCCAATGGGGAGGTGCAGCTGAGGGCTGGAGATGTTTGGCTCAAGGTCAAGAAGGGCTGAGGCTGCTGATCAGGTTCAGCTGCCCTTGGCAAATAACGAAACAGCCTGTCCTCCTCATCCCAGACCCAGCCAGGCGGGGGAGCCGAGGGCAGGCTCCGGGGCTCCTGCTCCCATCCTCGCTGCGGCCTGGGAGGGACGAGGCGCGCGGCGCCGGCCTGGAGCAGCCGCAGCAGCAGCGCCTCGTGCAATTCTCCTCCCAGGCGCTAGGGGGCGCTGGGACCCGCCTGGGCCGGAAGCGCGCGGCCAGGCCCCGCTGTTCTCCATGGCGACGGGCGCGCGGAAGGCTCCGGTCAGTGCGGGGCGCGGGGGCCCTGAGGGGAGGCGCTGCCCTCAGGCCGGGGCCTGGGCCTGCCTCCGCTTCCGTGAACCCCGTCCCTTCGGTCACTGCGTGGCACAGCTGGGCTTGGGGGTCTTCCCGCCGCCGCCCCGCCTCCGGGACCCGCACGCAGTGCTCCGTCCTGCGGGGCAGGGGCCACCTGGGCTGCTGGTGCCCTGAGGAGAGAAGGCGGCAGCTCCTGGAAGCAGACAGACCCCCTCAGGCTTCCCTGGCTCAGCTCTTGATGCGGGTGTCTCTCGGTAGCAAACGCCAGGCTCGTGCACCACGGGCATTACACACCCCTCGTTGTCTCAGAGTTGAGCTCTTTGGCCCTGGTGATGGCACGGGCCAGCGGCAGCCCGGTGGCACCGACACCCACAGATGGCTGCAGGGGTTGGCAGTTCCCTGCGCTCACGCAGCAGGTTGCTGATCCGAGCACAGTGGGGGGCACTGATGGGGCGCGTTGTGTGCTCAACTCACAGTCACCACGAATGTCTCAAACCAGTGCTTGTCTGTTGTCTGAAGGCCGCGCACCAGAGTCCAGTGGCAAAAAGAGAGGGGTGCTGGTTTACAGAAGAGCCTGGCTATTGGGCAGGATGGAGAAGTCCAGGGGCAGGTGAGGACTGTCACACGGAGGCTGTGCTGCTCTTTTGCTTTTATCTCCAGTTGGGTCCCTGGGACTAGAAAAACATTAAAAAGGTTATTGTGCGCTCTGGTGTGAAGGGGCAGTCTTATACAAATCTATTCAGAGGTTTTCCCACTTTATCTAGGAGGAAGTACTTAAAGTTTGGTTTTTTTTCTGGCTATACTATAGCATAAAGTCATAAACCTTATTAGTGTAAAAAAGAGGAAGGATGATCTCAATGCTAAGGCCCTGTACTGGGGCTCAGGTGACTTGGATTCAATTCTTGACTCTGCCATCTGCTTCCTGTGTGATCCTAGGCAAGTCACACGTATGTCTGTGTCCTCTATAAAATTAGGAGCATGATACTTTCTGCTGCCCTTACTCTTTTTGCTTGTTCAGGCTGTGAGCTCTTTGGGGCCTGGACTGTCCTTCTCCATGTATGTGTACAGCATCTGTCACAAAGGGGCCTTGATCTTCAGTTACTACTCTATTCCAAGCCATATGGTGAATACTTCACCGAGACAGTATTTACACACTTTCATCACTAATACAAACCATTTAAATTTCTCCATTTAGTTCTCTTCATGACATCTCTAATTATTGCTAGCAATAATCCTTTTGCATGGCTTTTTTTCCATATCTAAATTGTGTTAAATTTGGGTTCAAGTTAACTTCCTTTTTTGTCCCAAAGCTGTATAGGGAACTGTACACCTGACATGTAAAAGTTGAAATGCATTTGCATAATTTTAAGAGCAACTGAAACAGTTTTTTTTTCCAAAAACACTTGGAGAGTTATCATGGTGACTGCTGCAGCTGTGCATATTGGCATGCACTGAACTCTCCTGCTTGCCAGATGGGGCCCTGTTATTTTACAAAATATTAGAAGAGTCTTCTACATGAAAAGAAACTCTCACAAAACACCAGGCTTGTTTTGTTTGTTAGCTTTGGTCTCTGTTCTTGCAACTTGGGAGATCCAAACAGTGACACTTGCAGTTCTGCCCCTCTGAAATTTTGACTGCAATGGTCTGTGATTATTAGAACTTCAGGTAAACTGTCCTTTGTGAGTTAATGGGAGTTTTGCCATTAACTTCAATGAAACTAGGATTTCTTTCCTGAGGTGTTCAGTGGATTGAGATTTTCAGATGCTATTGCACCCCTTGCTGGGGAGCTCAGGGTTGTGTTTATGCTTCCAACATATAACACTGGAGGGTGGTGGCAGTGTTTGCTTCTGGGTCGCAGGCTTGGGTGCAACTGGTTCTGCAAGTTTTAAATTGGCTTAAATTACGTTTTTTCAGAAAGTTACCAAGGCAAAATAAAGGTAGAACTCATTGCACCATTTTTAAAGTTGCTTCAGAGTAGAACTGTACTTCAATAAAAGCTGCATAATGGAAAATAAAATCTTTGCCTAGTTCTGTTTGGATTTTTTTAAATAGAGAAAGGAAGTTATTTGTTTTTTTAAGAGAAAAATCAGTGTTCTTAATTATATGTGCACAAGCTGATAATATGAAGATGGAGTATTTCTTGCTCTTCTGTTGAGCACTGAAAATACTTGCAGTTCAGTTTTCTAGTCCAGTGTTTCTCAACCCGTGGGTCACAACCCAAAAGTGGGTCGCAAGAATATGAAAGGGTCATGAACAAACTTAAAAAATGGATTCTCCCTTAAAGGAAAAAAACATGGGAAACTGTGGCTTTTCCCTTGCAGGCTGACAGAGTTCCAGCCTGTGAGGGGCTGCTTGGACCCCCCCTGCCCTGCACACGGGGGCAGTGGGTTGGGGGTGAGGGGCACTGGGTCGGGACTGGCTGTCAATGTTTTACAAATGGGTCCTGGTACAAAAAAGGTTGAGAACCACAGCTCTAGTCTTTCAGGAAGTCTTTCAACAAAAATGTGCAAGAAAATTCTTGATATACTATATTAGAATCATAAGAAGAAAACACACAAAATTGCATATTCATGTCTTTTTAAATAAAAAAGAAACAGAATAAGTACAAGACCATTGTTTTTCCTTTCCATGTTGCCTTAAAAGGGAGTGGAAATGTAAGTGGAGATGATTGCTTTTGGTCTCCTGTGTTCCAGTCTTTGTGTGTGTTGGTATTTCTTGGGGAATGACCCAGAAAACTCAAGTGAGAGTTAATTTACAGAGCATTAATAGAATCAAATGGAACTTTTTAATATGCTATTTGTAGACATTAACTTGATACGTAATTTTATTTTAATACTTGATTATGGGACAAGGTCATAGAGACACTAGCATCTGTTAATAGTCAATGTGAATGAGCTAGTACTATTCCTCTTCCTCTTTCCTTTTAAGCTTAAAATGGCGAACTCCTCAGAGCCATCCAGTTGGACGGACCGTTGCTCCCCGGCATGCAGGCAATTGGTGTCGGATTGGGAGTGGCCATATTCCCTATCGGGTTACATATACCTGGAATCGAGGGGGCAGGTTAAAAGAACTTCGTATCAGGTGAAAGTTGTGCTTTCTGTATTTGTGGCGTTTTGTTTTTTAATCTTGGCATTTTTTTTGAGCAGGGAATCTGGGATCAGAAGACTGGGATTCTCATAACAAATATTCCATTAATTTGTTTAGCAATCTTGGGAGAGTTGCTTAACCTCTCTGTCAATTTCTGGTTAAAAGGGGCCAGCACTACCCGGTTCATAAAAGTGCTTTGGGATTCTCAGGGGTAAGGTACTAGTTAAATAAATAAATAACAAACATTATTAGGAGTGTCGTTAGCATGACCCCTTCTGGATAGCTCTGCAAGGAGTTTGATGACATATGGTTTTTCTTCCTGTGGGAAACTAGATTATAAGTAGCGAAAAGTACACACAACTAAGAATATAATTAAAAGAATCTAATTGTGCATTTTGGGTACATCTATGTGGCACAGTGCAGCATGGGTTTTAGAAAACTTGAACTAGCTTGGGATGTGCTGGCTTTTGCATCTGTATGCAGTACAGCTACATTGGCATGATAATAACTTATGTTTCTCAACTGAGTTTATTAGTCTAGTGCTACACTAATTTAGGTCTGCTTGGGAGCTAGCACATGGAGAACTAGCTGTGTTGCACTGCCTTGCACCATATACACATAGCTTTCATTTCTGTGATCTCAGCCGACTTCTACAAACAGTTTGCCTGCTTGCCCCTGAGCTATCAAAGCAGGCATCTTAGACTATCAGGTTCATTATAATTTTTTTTTTATTTTGCTGTTTAAAAGCTGTTTTCCTGAAGGAAACTCTTAAGTTGTAATATGCTTCTTTCTTTATTCTTTTATTTTTTCACTCCATACATTTGCTGTAAGCATCATGACTAAGAAGGAATTGAAAATGTCTTACAAGACAAGATTGAATGAGCATGCTGGGATGTACAAAGTGTTAATCCTCACTGAATCACCGGGAGGAATCCAAATTAAGCAACTGTTGTTGCTGTCTAATATCATTGCGTGTAAATCAGTCCCATGTGTATTGAGATCTGGAGAATTGAGGCCTTTTTAGTCATTTGTATTCGAGTTTGATAGGCTTCTGAATCTCCATCTGTAAGGCAGTTAGTTAGAAATTTAATAGAACCATGGGTTTAAAATCAGAAAAGCAAATAAACTTTGTTTACATTTCAGACACCTGGCCAGAAAGTTCCTCTACTTGTGGGTGAAAAAGACATTTGGACAAGTTCTTCCTTCCAAAGCCAGGTAGTACAGTTCTGAGTAGAAAGCATTCTACCTCGATATGGAGGAGCATTTGTAGGGCTTTGCAGGAACATCCATAAATGGCTTTTAAGGCTACTTGAAATCTGTCTTTGTAATATCATTCTCATCCATATTCCTAGCTAATCATAGCCAAATTTGGCTTCTCTGTAAATTTAGAGAAGCCTTAATGGTGGGTAGGTTGCATTCGCAGCAACAAACCTGAGAAGAATTGTTTTTTTTCATTTTCACTTTAAAATTGTAGTAATATAGATAGTAGAAGTGGGAAAAGACCTGTTGCCACAGAGTTCAAATGGCCCTGCAACATGTACGATTGTCCTTAAATTTGTATTCAATAGCATTTGCATACATCTCTTTGGCATAGCTGCAGTAATAGAGTTTCTTCAGTTTAGTTTTAAATTGGATGCTCCAAATCAACACCCCTCTCACCCTTTTACATTGTCGTTTGTGTGTCCACTGTGGCTTTGCTTCTCTCTAAGGTCCTAATCCAATTCCCACAGAAGTCAGTGGAAAGGCTTGTATTAATTTCATTGTGAACTAGATCAAGCCCTAAGTCACCCCAGATGATTCCACTGAGGAGCACAGGTTGTTACCTGGGCTGTATTAGGTGGCAAGCAAGAATAATTTTGTGAACCAGAGTAACTCTCTACCCATTGTACAAACCAGATCTGCATTATTTGCTTTAGCAATATGTAGATAGTGTCCAAGAAGTTTTGCAGAATGAGTAGCAATGCTATTAGAAATTTCCTGGAGCTCAGCTAGCTAAATTTTAAAGCAACAAATAATATATTTCAAAATAAAGGAGAGATTCCTGAATTCCATGTTATTTTGGTTTCTTAATTTTCCTGTTAATTCTTGCGTAGTGTTGAAGTGATGTAGCTATGATGGCCCATGAAGTATGCAAGGATTTTTGTGGGTGATGTCTTTTATTGGACCAACTGCATGATTGGGATAGGGTTAAATGTAGTCTTGAGACCTGAGGAAGGGTACTCTGGTACCTGTGGAAAACTTGTTTAAACTGTATCTCAGCATGCAGTTGGTTCAATAACATATATCATACCAAAAAATTCTCACCTGTTGACTTTTAATAATTCGACAGTTTCAAAGAATAATTTGTGATTCTCTTGTTTGCTTGTTTTTTCTCTGCTTGAGTGCTTGGAATGGCTTAGCAACTTGATTTGATGGGGTAGGTAGTTTTGAGTTGTACAATATATGCACAGATGCTTGTAGAAGGGTTTGCAGTGTAGGAGGGCTGGTATTTTGAGTCTGAACTTGCAGTCCTCATACCTCTGAGCATCCTCATTAATTTGGGAATGTTCATGTGAATTAAGGCTGCAAGATTGGGCCTGTAGTTTGCTTACTGCCTTGTTTGCTTGCTTTTCTGTGACGAATACAAACAAGTAAGAAACGCCTACAAATGCAGTATTTCATAGTTCCATCTAATGACATTTAAAGGGCGGGGTTTGTTGGATTGTTTGTTCGGTTTTTTTGCAATATGAGCTGTGCCATCTTGGCCAAATGATTGTTTTCACAGATTAGTAGTACAGAGGAAAGATGACTGGTTTAAATGAAATCAGAATTATGGTGCCAGAGAAAGAGACAGTAGGTGTATTACCTGATGCAGAGAATATTGTGCTGGAGTTCCTAATCCAAGTCCCAGTTCTCTAGTTCAGTTTAAAACCTCCTCCCATGTGAGTTTGTATTAGTTCAGTTTAATTTTGAATGTTTATGTCACATACCTCCAGGCTTTGTTGGATGCACAAATTGCATCTAAAAGACTGGGACCGCTGCTGCTTGTGCTAAAATAGGAAGTTAACAAATACAGAGGCAGTATATACTTCATAAACCTCTTATATATTTCACAACTAGAGAGGAATACCCATCTACGTTGTTAGTGAGGGTTATATGCAACTCAAAATGTTTGAAAATCTCAATCAATTTTCAATGCTTGTCTTAAAATCAGGATGATTTAAATTCAGCACGACTTCTAAGAGTAAATAGAGATTTTAAGATGATATATACTTTTTTTAAAGATAAAGCAGTTTAAAATATTCATGCAAATCAATGTAGAATGAGGTGAATTAGATGTGGAAATGTCACCATTTAGCTGTGGGTTTAGTGACTAGAGCAGAGATTGAAAGGTCAGGAAATGTTCCCAGGTCTACCATCAAACGACTCCATGATCTTGGGCTAGTTATTTAAACTGTCTTTCTTTTTGCTCAACTTTACAAGAGCTGCTGTATTTACACAGATTATGTAAGATTTAACTAGGTGTTTCTTTTGGCACTTCCAGATTCTCGGGTGAAATTTGGGATAGAATGATTATGTTTTGTCATGCATTCAGAGACTCTTAGGTTAAGCAAACAAGACTGGAAAAAGAAATGCAGTTTCTTTAAAATGCATCTGCTATTATCTCAGAAATCATTATAAATCTTCCCCATCCTCAACATCTTTCAAATCTCTAGATGCCATTATGACCAGAAGATTCTGCAAAAAACTTTCAGAGAGTGGAAGGAGGAATGGTGGATTGTTTGCAGAGAGTGGAAGCTCAGCATCAGAGCTGACTGCCATTACAGGTTTGTGAAATGATCACTGTGTTCATAGCTAGGTTCAGAGGGGTATATGTATTAGTACGTATCTACCTGGGCAGGATTGCATGGTTGGGAAAGACCAATTATAATGCCTCTGTCATGTCTTTTTGCAGTTTTTCTTTCCTGTCTTTTTCTAATCTCTGACCCATTTATCCAACAGCAGCACACTTTTCTTTTCCTTTTTTTATGTTTTGCCCTAAGATGGGGTCATATTGTACAGCTCAGGTGTCATGAGGGTTCAGCTTGGCTAGCAGAAATTGAATTTCCTGATTTTTAGCAACATATAATTGTTCAGAAAGGTCTGAGTTACATTCAGACTAAGAATTCCACTTGTCCTTCAAGTGATCCCATGCTGTTGGCTTATGCTGTTGGGGTCAAAGCAGACTAACCACCATGCCTCTTGCCTGCTTCTTATACACTGAGGTATGGGAACTTGGTCTCTCTCTCTCTGACTGGTTCTCCATCCAGGTTATATGCCAGGTTGGAACAGATTCTGGAAGCACAATCAGTGAAAAAGGCATTCTAGATCAGTAGGAACCAAACTTTTCATCAGGCATGATAAAATGAAACCCTTGAGTGCCACTTCAGTCCCTTTCACTACCTGCTCTGCTGCTCTGCTGTCTGCTTCTTGCCTGATCTGCCATGTGTGAGAGAGAGGCTGCCTGTTCCACATGCAGTACTCATGTTGCAGGTTGGCCACTCCATTCTATATTATTCTCTTGTTCATATTGCTGCGTGATGGGACCTGGGAATAAAATGAAGTTGCTTTTTCATGGGACTTTTATGGATCCCAAGCCAACCTGTAATCTGTTTGTACTTTACCTCACTTTATGGTAATCTAATAGTCCTTTGTACACTTCTCCCTTCCTCTCAAGGTTTTCCTGACAACTGTTCAAAGGAACCAAGGGATTTCATTATTCCTCATCTTGTCTCAGAGACGAGGACTGAGTTCAGCCCCATTTTTAACAGACTTTCTTCATAGAGGCCTTTTTCAGGCAGAGAAACCCTTTAGAATCCCATCCTTGTTGCCTTCTCAGTGCAGGCTATTGTTCTCATTAAAGTGAGAATAAAACACAGATGACCGTCTAGTCCCCACAGACTTACTAAAAGAGTCTCTCTGTAAAGGTGCTCCCTTTCCAAAAGGGGTTAGATCAAGCAGAAATCCTGAATGGATCCAAGACCTTCTCCCATTATATTTTGACGAGTCAAAATGTCTGTATCCTGTTCTGTAAAATGCTTCCCTTCCAGAATATGAATCTACGATCCTGAATACAAGTCCTCAGTGTGAATGCCCAGTATCCTGCATGATAGGAGTCTTGCTGAATGATACGAGTCTCCCTTGGTCATGACATATTTTACCAAACCAAGTGAGGGTGGCTGTGCTATATAGAAACTGGTGTGTTTGGGTGAAGGCTTATGGCAATGTTTTTCTTTCTTTCCTGTTCAGATATTTCTTATACAATCTAGTGTTTAAGACCTGGAAGGTTTATGTATGCCAGCAGCGAGAGAAGAAGAGCAAGTATCATGTTGCAGAGTCTCATGGTAAGTGTGGAAAAGAAGAGTAGCACTGTTCACTGGCACAGAACAAAGATTTTGTGCACACTGGCCAGAATAGTCATTTTTACATCACTTTCATGGAGTATCCTGTTGTAACCCCCACTTTTGATGTTAAAGCTTTAGAATTTGTCACACTGAAGATCAGAGGGCTCTGTGCAAGGCTTTGAAATACTAATACCACAGAGCCAATTTAAGGTGGACCATTTTGTTTTCAAAGAAAAATAATGTCTCATTAATTAGTCAGATTGCAAAAGAAATGACCCCTTTTAAGCCTATATTCACAAGATCCTGGACATCTGTTTGTAGGAAGACTTTTGTTGTTGAAGGTTTCTGTTTATTTTTATAAAAGAAATAAAATACAAAACAGCATAAAATCAAGGAGTGTGCATGTGTGGGAGGGGTGAGTGAACATGTGGTTTGGATCAGAGACATAGCTAGCTCTTCCAGTGCCCAGGGCAGAGATAGGGGGGTGGGGGCGTGGTGTTATGCTGACTAGTGGAGAACTGGGGGAGGGGGAGATTCTTACCTGCCTGGTTGTCTTTATTCCAGCAACAGCTGTTGTTGTGGCTGCTATTGCAGCAGTATGGGCTTGGGCACCTGCTGCTGCTGGGGGACAGGCAGCAGTGCAGGCTTCTTGGGGGCTGTTCTTGGTACCTAGTACTTCCCTCGCCCCTTCAGGTACAAGCATGTTCCTCCTGTGGCAAAGCCTGTAATGACACCTGTCTACCCCCTCAGATACACTACTAGCCATGGGGTATGCTTGTTTAGTTCCTATGGCCAAGCTGCCCTTGTAGTGATAAAGACTTCTGGGGGAGGGCAGTCCATTGGCACCTGCTGTAAATCAGTGACTGAAGCTGGTGTTCCACTTGCTGCCCCCTCTCCCTGCTTCCCAGTTATGCTGCTGGTTTGGATTGTTTCTCATTAACAACTCTCTGCCTCAACAACATCAGTCTTTATATATGAGTAGTGTGAAAGGTAGTGTGTCCTTGTGGATAGAGCACTGGGATTTGGGAAACTTGTATTCTGTTCTTGGCTCTGCTGCTGGATGAACCTGAACAAATAATTCCTTTGTGCCTCGCTTTTCACTTTCTAATAACTTTTGCTGAAGGGCTGCATAAGGTGCTAAATCTTTTCCAATAAACCAGTTACACTAAACTAATGCAATAGAAATAATAATAATTATTGAATATTATCAGCACATGTATGTGAAGCCCACAGGGATCTTAAAGCTTGAACAAAGTAATTAACCTAGCATATTCTGTGTATATTTTGATGGTTATAACCTCTGCAATACCAATAGATTCTTATCTTGAACAAAGCTTAGTGAGCCAACAGCCATCTTGCAGAGCAGTCTTGGCTTTTGGACCACCTGCACTTCTAGGCTTTCCTACCAAGTGGCACTGTGAGGCTGGTGGGATGGAAGGTTGAGCTGGAGTGTCGATGTGGATTTGTTACAGAATTGCCAAATCTTCATAGGATGTCTTTTAAAAGTGATGTAATCATTGCTGTATGCAGCAGAGAAGCAGAAGTTACGCTGGACATGGCGGTGTTGGCTGATCTACGTTGATGTTCGCAGGACCAAGCATAGCATGCAATCTAAGGCCCTGGCATTCAGTGAAAGGAGCACTCTGCGGTGAGAATGGATTTGAAAGAATCGTTTATTAACCATAAGTGCAGAGCTTCCATCTCTCTATCACATGATCTTCTGCACTGAATATTGTTGACTGATCGTTATGAGTTGGTTTTTTTTTGTCTCTACTCCTCCTCCCTATATACTTTGAAGTGAAAAGGCTCCATAAGACTCAAGCTGGCAGGCAGTACCTCATTGCTGATATGTCTAGGTAGAGTCAGAGAGCCCCTTGCTTTCCTGATAAGAGGAGACTAGGTCCCTGTACCAAACTGCATGTTTTGAATGTGTCCTAAATGTTTTTGGTAGCGTGCCATGGAGAATGTGGACAAGGCGACTGCTTCAGAATTGTGCCAGCCGTGAGATGGATGCCCTGGCTTTGCAACACTGGGCACTGAGTCTTCAGTTTCGGGTAAATCCTACAAACACTGACTTTTTATAACTAGGGACGTACTCACAGTTTCATAGTTGGTAGGGTCGGAAGGGACCTGAGCAGATCATCAAGTCCGACCCCCTGCCATGGGCAGGAAAGGATGCCG